CGAGGCTTCCGCAAGGAGGAGGTGCTGCAGCTGCGGCGTCGCCGCTGGCGACATGCGTTGTGCGTTCCTCGCACCGGCCTGCGCGCAGTGACGGAGCGGGGCTGGCCCGGCCCCGCGCTCTGCGCTTTCCTCCCCGGGGCTCCCGCGGTGAAGAGGCGTCCTCCGTGCGTCCAGGCAGCAGGCTGAGCAGAACCCCGCTGCAAAGCGAACAGCGAGGCTGTGACAGGAAACGGTGGATTGGTCTAGTTTAGGAAGTTGCTCCTAGAACTCAGCTGCCGGGTGCGGGAACAAAGGTGTCCTTATCATTTATGACCGTACAGCAGCCTCTGCCCGCACTTTGCGTGAGGACATAACCCACGGTACGTTGCTGCGGTACATGGAAGTCAGACTAGTCAGGATTTTCTGCTGCTGGATGACACAGTTCTAAACTCGAGCCACCTCTCTGAAGTAGCGAAGCACTTTCTGTGAAAGAGAGGCACTGAATATTCAGCCGATGCAGGGTAACTGCAACTCAGGAAGAGAATGCTGGGTACTTAATGAGTGTCTTGTCTAGCTGCTCTGCTGGGAAAATAAAACACTTCCTAGCTCAAGGCTAAGCCCCACGTAATCTCACTGCCTTTAGAGGTGAACAGTCTCAGTCCATTCAGCTCCAGCCAGAAGAACTCACTGAACGACTTCACTGAAGTGCTTTTCCTTCTCAACAAGCTGCCTGAACAGTGCCCCTAATTTTGAATTCCTCCACTTACGCTGGTCTGTATCACATCCTTGATGCTCGAAGCATTATTGCGCACTTTTTTTCCAGAAGGAACAACAAACCTTGTCAGTTCTAAGAGCTTTTGCTGTTAGAGGGCACCCAGGGTTTGTATTAAACCTCTCCTTCCCCCGGCCATCGGTCACAGCAAGCATGGAACAGCAACACACGGCCGGTCCCGCCGGTAAGTCAGCAAGTGAGCAGGCGGCACTGCCCCAGCCTGCTGGCAACCGTCACTGGAAGAAGTCGCACAGGCATGTTCTATACAAGCCATTTATTTGAAATGCCAACTATACGTAGGATAAAGTCAGTGTTACATGCTTCTCAGCAACAGTAGAAAAATAGAACCAGTGAAAACCTTTTTACAACTGTAATGGTACTCAAAAGAGAAATGTATTGTTTTACAATGCATCACACAAGACTAGAATTCAAGTTTGGAGGTACCTAAATAAAAATACTATTTTGTTTTTAAAAAACACTATGTACAATTGAAGCGTAAACAACTTTTACAAAGTACTGGTTATGCAGGTTGTAGAAAAAACACTTGCATAGGACATGAAGTCAGTTTAAGAAAGTTTTCTGAGCCTTTAGCATTGAAGGCACTTGACTTGATACCAGTAACAACACAAGGACAAGAAACAGAACCGTAACGTTGCCGAAGGCAGGGCTACCTTTTGGCAGTACAGGTAATTACAGAAACCCCAAATACGGTTTTACAATTTTCTCTCTCCCCTGTTCCCTGCGTTCAGCGGAGCTCAGCACCACCTCTACCACAGAAGCATATAATTACGAGAAGAACAAACAGTGCCTCAAACTGCATGAGTATTCTTTCAGGAAAAAAAAAAAAAACACAAAACCAAAACAACCAAACAACCAAAACCCAAAACAACCAAAAAAAGCCCAACCAAAAAATGAAACCTAACCAAAAAACCCCACCAAACCCAAACCAAAGAAACCCCTAAGACAAACATTTGGGACATTCCAGGACCAAAACCCAAGGCTTATAAGTACGGGCAGCCACAGCCTTAACTTTCAGAAATTAAAACTCCTCAAGAGCAGGAAAAATACAACAAGAAACCGCCAATCACCACAGCAGTTAATACACAACTACAGTAACTCCGTGGAACAACAAAACATTTCAAAGGAAGAATCTGTTTCAGGAATTAAGGTATTCATTCATATATTAAGGAAAAGAGGGGGTCAAAAAAGGATTAAGAAGTTTTTGCATGTTGCTCACTAAATGAAAGTCTGAGATCTCTCTTCAATAGAAGAAGGAACATGAGTCTTCCTCATTCAAGAAAACAATGTTCATACCGCTATCCTCAAGCAAAATAGTCAGTAATCTGTTATCTCCATCAAATTTACAGGAAGAAAAGATGTCAATTTCCAGCCTAATCAGAAAGTGCTTCATGTAAACAAGGAGCTTCTGCACCAAAGTTTCAGTAGACAGAGAACAACAAGAAGTAGCAGGTAGCACAGGTACATGTGTTCTGCGAGTGAGATTTAGTATGAACACTAGCTTCTGCACAATGCTTCCACGAAGAATAAAGATGGTCTCCCTTCCCTCCCTCTGCATATCCAACTAAGCAGGAAATACTACGCTGGAGTACAAAAACACGGTTCCAGTAATCCAACAAATCCTCCTTTTCCACTTCGAATCAGCTGCCGATAGCTGCCATCATCTTCCCAACTCAAAATACACAAGCGAAAACGCAGATTGTCTACAGGGCCTGATTGTCTCTGTGGCCTCAGAAGGACTTTTATTTTGCACCTATTTTTAAACACTTTATTCTCTTTTAATACTGCTCAGCTTCTGAGACTTCAGAAGCAATTTTGTATTCTGAAATACAGACATGCCCCCCCCCCCCGAGGCATTTCTCACCAGCTTATCCAAAGCCAAAGCATTTCATGGTTTCCCTCAAGCCACAACCTCAAAACTTCTCAGTCTTCATCAGCCACGTCCCCACAAATTTCAAGCTTAAAAGTTACATCTGTAGATTTCAGCCCCACCTCTGTCCAGGCACACAGTGCCACATCAAACTACAGTAACTAAAATAGTTTTCTCAAAGCACATCTATCAATTTTAAGTAAAAATAAATTATTCATAATAGTAAGTCTTCTGAGGACAGCCAGACTTCTTAGTAATCAAGCTACCAACATACATGTGACATGAGTGCAGGGAGTTTCAGGGTTTGCGTGTGTGATGAAAGTTAATGCTTGAAGGGCTGGTGAGCATGAGACCCAAGTGTTGGTCAGAGCTACGCAGTCAGACAGCACCATGCTCAAATCCCCAGAAGAAACGCAATGAAACCCAGTCCCTAAGCTGCAGCAGCACCATCCCCCCACTGACACCTTCTTGCATTTAACAGTGTCCTACACTGTAGTCCCATGGAAATGCTACATACTGGTGACAAGGCCAGGACCACCAAGTGTCTTGACTGTGGTCAAAAACACAGATTAAAAAAGCTGACAGAAGAAAAAAACCCAACCAAAACCATCTCCCCTCACCCACAAGACACATCACCTGCACAGATTAGCCAAGTTTCTCCACCAGTCCTACACCATGCTTTCCATGGCTGCATCTCAAAAGGAGCTTTCATAGAAGCAGAAGGCATATCGATGTGCATGCAGGAGACACAAGGATTTATCAGTTCAAACACCCATATCTTCATTTATCTAGAAGCTACCTGGAAACACAGTATGCAATATACTTCAGTAACTCTGTGTTGCTGCTACCAGGCCTCACGTACTTCAATGAAACAGGTTAAGTAAGAATCTGCCATCGACTACAATGAAAACTAAAGTTGCTGCAAGATTTCTGTTTAGTATTAAGCATTTTGAACTGCAGGAAACAACTCAACCTAACCTTAAAGTAGTCCTTAGATCACACTTGGGATTAAAGTTTTTTACTACAGGGAAATTCTTCATTATAGAAACTGCATTTAAAAGAAACCCAAACAGGCCTTTACCAGTAATCACCACCTGCAGTGGCATCGATCCCTATCCTGAATGTGATGAATCTGTGGTAAAAACTGCCCAGGAAGTATTAAGGCTGCACTTAGTAATTATAACCATTACACCTGGTGCATTGCTCAACCCTAACCCAGTGGCAAGGCACCAGCCCAGGTCACAATCATTCCCCTTCATATCACGTTAACAGATTAATCTCATTTCTGGGCTTTAAACAAAGCAAAGTTGGGAAATGGAAGTGTAATTTAAGAGTGCTAAAGCTTCCCATGCTTCCTGACGCTACAGCGGTCACTCTTCTCTTTGCTTTTGTTCCCAGAACAGCTGCAATTATGAAGTCAGCAACACTTGGGATCAGGCAAGGAACACTGAATGACGTCGCTAAGAGTGAAGCCCTTTTTTAGTCATAGGCAGGAGAACGCAAGGCAATGAGCAGTCACCTCAGCACCTCTGTGGGAGGGAGAACCCTCTCAGGCAGAGGGTTAGTTACCATTCAGGCAACAGCAAAGATACTATGCTTTGTCTTCCTGACACTGCAGGACTCAGCATGAACCCTCAACTCCGGCCTTCCCTTACCCCCACGTATGGATAGCTTGAAGAACACATTATTACTATGATTTTACAGTATTTCTAGATCTGTTTCTGTATGGGCAAATGAACAATTTAGTCTGTCTAGCAAGTACTTCTGGGTGACCATGAAGTTCTCCACAGTCACAGCTGAACCAGAAAGCAAACAGAATCAGACTGTCAAATCCCAGTGAATTTCACTGGAATTTGGACTGCTAAATATCCCCCTGGACTCTTAAAACCCCAAATATAATTCTTGAAGTGGGCTTGCTATATAAGGGTAAGACCAGCTGCCAGAACTTTTCAAACAAAGCATTAGACTGGGTTCTTGCTGCAGTCGTAAAAATCAGGAAGATTTCAGATCTACACAAAAAAAATCCAACTAAAAATGTAGTATTTTGATGTGCTGTTCTTTGGAATTCCTATAATTAAAAAATAAACGCATTGTTACTATCTCTTAAGAAAATACATTTCATAATGTGCAACCCAATGCACATGGGGAATTGGCAGGTGAAAGGGAAAATGCAAAAAGTATGAAAATACAGTCCTTTAAATGTGACAATAAAGCTTAACATATTAGTACAAAACTAATACACTAAAATAGATGTAGAGGTGCAAAAGGCTACCAGGTTGTAGAAAAAAGGTACCAGCTTTTTCTTTTTTTGAAAGGCTTAATTAAATTTGCTCCAAAAAAATTTCCACAAAATAAAACCAGAAGCAGCATTAAAAACAAACCGATAACATGCTGTCTCTAATAAAGCAACGTATGTACAAAAGGAGTGAGCGTAGCTGAACTTATCTGCTGGCATGAAAGAATTTGTCTGACAGAAGTCAGGCCAAAAGTTGCAAAGAATGGGATGTTTACAACTCTTAGGCACAGAGAAGTAGTGGAGGTTGCTTTCATAGGGCAGATTTTTTATACAGGAAGTCTGGTTTGTTTGGAGACCTCCTTCCTCTGCTTACTGCATCTTCCCTTTCCAAATCTGCATTCCTCTGTGCTCCATGTTCCAACAGCTCATCATCTGCCACTCTCCTACTGGGTCTCTCTTCTTGCATTTCCAAGGGGTATGCAGAGAGTGAAGGTCTGTTGGAGGTTAGCCCATAGGTTAAATCGGTTTCCATTTTTGTTCTTCCCCTGACGTGAACCGGGCCATTACCAGCATTTTCCTGGGTAGCCAACGCCAAGTCCAGTCGCTGGGGAGGTTGTTCTAAGACATCGAGGTGTATTGGCTCATTCTTTTGTCTGTGTTGATGCCCATCTTGGGAGAGCAGGTATTCCCTCCTAGAATCTTCTTGCTTTTTAGGAGATATCTGGGAAGGTAGATAGGCTGACTTTAAGCCACTTGGTGATGCCTTATTGTGGCTGTACAAATCTGGGCCAAAATATATGCCTTGTGAAGGTGAAGGACTGTGCCTGTTGGGTGCTGGAGTAGAGGGTCTGCATGCAGCATTAGAGAAGTCATAGAAGTCAGGATAT